CATGCAGCTTCACAGGGTGGTACAGTCGCCGTCATCGAAACTCTGTTGTCTCGCGGACTTGACATCGATTCAAAAGACAGATATGGGGACACACCTTTAATATTAGCTTCTAGGTACGGAAGGGGCGAAATTGTTGATTGTCTTCTACAAAAAGGAGCAAATCCTTTCTTGAAAGGCCGAGGAGGTGGAAACTCTCTGCACTCTGCTGCAGAAAGTGGTAATGTCGCCATCATCGAGCTATTGATATCGCATGGTCTACCCGTCGATTCTAAAGATGGTCACGATAAGTCTCCGTTAGCCATCGCTGCCATAAATTGTAAGATGGGAGCTGTTAATTGTCTTTTAGACAAGAAAGCCGATCCCTTTTTGAAAAACGTCACAGAAGATAGGTTACTACACTACGCTTCAAGTGGTGGTAATCTCGCCATCATCAAGACAATACTCTCACATGGTTTGGACGCGGATTCAAGAAATATGTATGGCAAGACACCATTGGCATTTGCTGCGTTACGTGGCAAATCTGATGCTGTTTCTTTTCTTTTAGCTAAGGGAGCAGATCCCTTGAAAAAAGATCGATATGGAAGAAATCTACTGCATTCAGCTGCGGAAGGTGGTCAAATCGACACAATAGAGATATTCCTGTCACGTGGTATTGATGTGAATTCAAAAGACTCTTTTAATGCCACACCTTTACTTATTGCTGCTAGTTTTGGCGAGATTGCGGCCGCGCATTTCCTTTTAAAAAGGGGAGCAGATGCCTTTGCGAAGGACTTCGCTGGAAGAAATGTATTGCACTACGCTTCACAGCATGGTAGTGTAACCTTGATTGATACAGTGCTGTCATTTGGTGTTGATGTAAATTCAAAAGATGACAATGGTCTCACAGCGTTACAACTAGCACAGGAACAGAGAAAAACTGAAGCGGTAAACTTCCTTCTTAGCAAGGGAGGACGTTAGTTTTTTTCTAGCTTGCCTGAGCTCCTGCCGGGTTTCAGATTTACGACCGATAAACTTTGAAATAGCTTCTACGTACAAAATAATTGCGGTCCATAAAAGGCACAATAATTACAAAAGTTATTATCGTGCCTTGGATAGTTATAACTACTAGACCTCTAATTTTTTAGGCATGATAAATGATTCTATTTCTTGAGGCTAATATCCAGCCATCTTGACCGAACAACCTTGGTTACTAGAGGATTTATTATATTGCAAAAAGATTTCGCTATATCTAGAATTAAGAATGACCTTTTAAGTTCGAGAGTCGGGAAAGAAAGGCAACTGTGTTTGTAGCACAACAGACTCACGAGAATGGTTTCTATTTTCGTTGTTTTGACTATCTTCTGCCACTTTTGCGTTTCCATCGCCGACATTGTCGCACAATTACGAACGTAATTGTAATTCGAGTTTTTGCAAAGGCGGGATCAATGCAGGTGATCCCGAGCGGGTAAGATAGGCCTATCTTGCCCGCTCGGGACTGCCCGCATTGATCCCACACATGAAAAAAATTTGATTAGAACTAAACTAGCAAAGTAGCAGAGTGTAGTATGTGTGTTCATCAAATTACGCTGACCGTCAAGTTATTTAACTTCCCTCAGTTAGCGAGGAAATTCTCTGGGTAGTTGACGATCAGGAAAGGTTCTATTGAACCAAACTTTTGTCTGATTGCTTTTAACATAAGGCTGACAGTATGCTTGATACTCCCTCTGAAAAAAGAAAACAAAGTGTAACGAGCCTTTGAGTCAACATAACGTATTTCCCAGAATAAGATCCCAAGCTTTGATAAGCGCGCTCTCTAAAATAAGAACCCTTCCCCAGGCCATAAAAGAGACTTTAAGCAGTCAGGACGGCAACGCCATGGAAGACATCGATTAAAAGATGAGTTTCTACTTTTAGTTAGAGTTTCGAAAATGGCTGCATGTGTTTACCGTCTCATAGGGCGCCAGACCTCGAACTCAACATAACGCATAAAAGTAGCGTTGAGTTCCAAATGTAAATTAAAATAATTTTTCGCCGCGGTTTCGCTTCGCAGACCGACGCAAATTTTGG